CTCTTTGAGTCTTGAATTGTGTGTTTGCGCTTCTGTCAGCCTTTTTATTTGATTATAATTTACAAACTCAGGATCCCGTGATTTGAAAACAAATAAAAGGGCTATTACTCTGATATTAATTTGTGATTGCATTATTTTATGTGTGGTTGTAAATGATAAAGTTCGGCTTGAGTAGGGACTTTATACAAATCACCTTCACCAGGCGGATCATCTTGCTCCTCAACTATTTCTCCTTTACATCCACAATCCTCTTGGGTTCATTGCAATAAGTCACATTTTCTCACAGTTCTACCTCTTCATGCTCAAGAATATGAGAAGGGTTAGGTTGGTATTTGTCAAAATACCAAGCAAGTGCACAATGGTCTAAAGCACAAAACTATTGTTAATAGTAGAAATTGTGGGGATATAATCCAACTGAAAAGGCATCTAGTATACTCTCAATAGTTCTTGGTTCATAGAAGCATGATTTACTGACTTCTCTATGTACTAAGCAGTATTAGCCTAGGTCTGATTCATAGTCTAAAAGATACTAGATTCAAAATGATTATATTCCATATAAATAATAGATGATAATATTTCGTTTTTGACACAAGAGGGGGCTATTGTTATAATTTTGTGTGTATGTGTGCCAAAAAGTATAATCCTATGTTGCTCAAATGTATAGAGGCGTTAGTACATATAAACTAAGGTGCAAATTTAAGCAAATAAATGAGCTTAGAAGATAAGTGACACTGGGCAATATTTTTCATAATTTTGAAAACAATTATGTGGAGTTACATAAATAGCTTTCCAAACAAATAAATGAGCTTAGAGAATAAGAGGTATTAGGTAATATTTTTCATAATTTTGAAAACTAATTTGCGGAGTTACATGAAATAGCTTTCCAAAGTTTTTTTTCCCCTTTTGAAATATGTATGGGATTATTGGATATTTTAAATATTTTAATGGTGTTTCAAAAATAATATTTATTTCGATTAATAATATTAATTATCATTTATATCTATTTATTTTGTAACTTATAATTTAAACACCATTATTCTTTGAAACTGATTTTTAATTGCATTAATATGTCATTAATCAGTGTTTTAACTTCCCAATGTTCAGGAACTTTTGCATATAAAAGGCAACGTAGATCACATAATAGGTGTTCATCACCCCAAGCTTTCGAACACTTTCCTCTCCTCCCCTTTTTGTGCTTCTCTTGAGTTATTATGTAACTTTTAATATTTTGTCACCTGTTCATTTTACATGAGGGCTCTGTTTAATCTTAAGGAGCTCCAATAATTATGTTAGAATTTCTCTTAAGGATAGTATTTTTAGGCATGACTCAAAACAAATTTTTTTACAAAGATTTTCCAACAGTTTCATGGTCGTGCCATAATGGCTAAATAAAATGAGGAAGGTGGAATGAATAATTAAACAATTAATTTTTTTATAAAAATTAGCTGGCTAGCTTGCAGGTTGGGCAATTTAGCTCGTGGCTGATTTGGCTTAGGCAATGCGAGCTGAAACAATCTCACATCTAACCAAGTCTCAAATTATATGCAACCCAACCCGACCCAAATATTATCTTTTAGAATTATGCAATTTTTATATATTTTAATTAAACTATATTATTTTAATCTTGGATTGGCCTTCATTTAACTACAATATTCTAGAATATTGACCCTTGATTCATTACTAGGTCCAATGATCAATTTAACTTATAGTACCTTATTCATACAGGCACATAATTAAGTATAGGTGGAAATCGCTTTTGTTAAGGCTGCCCTTTTTTATTTTTTTGGGCGGCCGCCGGCCTGCGTTGCCAATAAAGGCGGCTTTTTGTGGATGCTGATCCTCTAAGGTACATGCACTACAATATTTTTCACATGTCACTGTCTGATTGAAAGTGTCGCCTAGGCCCATCGCCATCGGCTTCAATAGTTAAATTCAAAGGTTTAATTTCTTTCCTAGCTAGTGACCTCATGCAAACGAAGAACTGTGCTTTTATGTTCCCGCGTTGTACTCTAAGGCCCTGTTTGGTATGTGGCATCAGGGGGCATGGATTGGGATTGGGTTTGGGTAATACCACTCTTTACATGTTTGGTATGAAGCATTCGACAATCCTTGGGACTGCTCAGTACCACTTAGGTGGGAATACTCAAACCCACCACCCCCTTGGTACTGGAAAATCTAACCTAGGATTGAAATTTTTTTGACTGAAATGCCCCTGTAAAAAGACGCAGATTTTCTCCTCAGTCCACGAATCTCAATCTCCACCTTCCTTCTCTTCCATTGATGGCTGCCAGACTTCTCCTCCGTCGACAACTCCAGCCCTCCATCTTCCTTCTCCTGCTTCGATGATCTCCTCCTTCTCTTGCTTCGACGATCTCTTCCTTTTCTTGTTTCGACGACCCTCGACCTCCATCTTCCTCCTCCTCCGTCGTGACTCCAACCCTCCATCTTCCTTCTCCTGCTTCGACGATCTCCAACCTCTACCTTCCTTCTCCTCTATCGACAACCTTCGTCAACGCCATTCTCCCAGCGTCGTCCTCGCTTCTCAAATTTGTGTGATGAATCTTCTTTTGTGAGAAGTTGCGACATTGACTGGGAGGGTGAGATAGAGGCAATGAGTTCAGATGATCAATTGAGAGGGTGAAATGGCAAGTGGGTATTTGAGTCTTTTTACTAGTTTTTTTTTTAATCCCAGTCTTATTTTTTTTAATCCCATGACATACCAAACATGATTTTAAAATTTATTCCTACTATCAATCCCAATCCCAATCTCATTCCCATTCCCATTCCCAATACCACAAAATTCAATACTTAATACCAAACAGGGCCTAAGTTTTCATATGTAGCCACCTCTCTATTTTTCATGCTAAAAATTATATCAAATAAAATAATATTATTTATAAACCATAAGCAATAATGTTATTAAAAAAATAATAAGATAAATAGTCTATGGGATAATAATAATAAAGTCTTAAAAGAATAAATTAATAACAGTTAATTTTTTGACAAAATATTCTATAATATAAATTGTAAATATTAATTCAAATAATTATAAATAAAAATCCAAATTATAAACTAACTGTTATATTTAGATTAAATATTGTAATTGCATTTGAAATTTTAAAATTTATAATTGCTTGAATCGATATTTACAATTAATTTTTTTAAAAAAATTATCAAAAATCTAACCATCATTAATTTTCTCCTTTAACACTTAATTGTCATCCTCCCTTAGTCTATTCAAACTATTTGTCCACAATTAATTATTTAAAACACATCCTAACGGGCGGTCCGGCAGATCTTCTATCATTGAGCGTTGTGAGGACCATTACTGAAAAGTAAAAATTGCATATAAGTTTCTTAAAACTTAATTCTATTTCTACCCCACTCACTTAAAAAATTTTATTTCTACCCCCATGAAAATTCCTATTTGATTCTAGTAAGAACTTCACTCCCATTCAATAGTCAATAATTGTTACTTATCTATAAATAGTTCATTTTTTGTTGTTAATAATTTTTGTATTTTTTATTCAGTATTTAATTTTATTAATTTTTATTGTAATATTAATTTAATAGGTATTTATAATTGTAAATTTTTTAAAAAATAATATTTATTTGATGTGGAAATCCCCCCCCAAAAAAAACCAATTTTTTGGGTTCCCCACTGATTTCTTACCCCTTGTATTTTATCGTTTTTACGTTGTTTGATATATTATATTTTCCTTCCAAAAATTTTATATGACAAATAAATAATTAAATTGATCAACGAATACAATTAATAATAACAAATATATTTTATATTTAATTTTTTAAAAAAATTATCTATATTAATTGTTTGACATGGTAATCTAATAATGCTAGCTAGTACAACCAATGAGAATAAAAAAACCTCTTTAATAAACTCAGAAGATACACTTAATTGTTTCTCATTAAGAGGAAAGTATGCAGCATTACATAGTCCCCCAACCAAACCATGATCAGAATCCACCTATCACGGAGTAATAATGCCACGTGTGAAACTTCCATCTTAAGGAGCAGTCTGGGAGAGATATATTCTTGTTTTTTATTTTTTATTAAAGAAATACATTCAAAATCAAAAGAGATTACACTAAGGATAGTTGACCTACGATAATATTCTCATCATCTACTACCTCTTATAATAAAGGTGGGGATTATTAAAAGTACAAAAACTAATATCTAACACATGAGGAAGCTTGGCAAAGTGATCAACATCAGTATTAGATCATCATCTATTAATATAATGAATAAGTATGCCTCAATTCTTATGAAACACAAAATGAACATCATCTATTACATCTTGAAAGGGGTGTGAGAGTTCACATCCTTTACCAATCAAACTAATAGCCTCAACACAATCACAAAATATATCAATTTAGTCATTAAAAAATCCCTTTAGTCATTAGAATTAAAATTAGTAGAGAATTTTACTAATTCATTGTTTAAAATTTTAGATATAGAGAGAAAAATGGTAAATTTTTTTCAACTAAATTGTTACTTACATCAAGATTGGAATTTGAACCCAACCACTTGCTTATATATATATATATATATATATATATATGTATGTATGTATGTATGTATTAATTTTACAATAATATGATCAAATTTTTATGTAATTTATCAAATCTGCTTTAAACAAACGTAAATTTTATAAATTAAAAAAAATTCATATTAAAAGAGTTATATCATATTCCAATCTAATAATATTTAAATGATTAAATATAATTAATTACTATTCCACTTTTAATTAATTTGCACATTCAATAAATTAGTTATTTATAATTTTTTCCAGCCCACTATTTTTTCCCGCTCGTAGTATATCTGGCCATGTACCCTACACAGTATTCAATGTGTCTTTCTTTGCCACTTTAATTTACTAATTTTTTTTTCCAAAATCTAGAATTCCACCAGGTATTTAAAATTCGATCTTCTCATCAAGTCATCATTGTCAATCCCATTATAACACGGGTCGACGCCGTCCTTCAACCTCACCGCAAACGCCATTTGACTTCTTCTTCTTCCTCTCTCTCTCTCTCTCTCTCTATGTCGTTGAACCAACCCATTCCCAACAGAAGCCATACGCATAAACTTCCTCTCTCTCTCTCTCTCTCTCTCTCTCTCTCATATGTATAGTATCTGTATATCTCTTGCCTCGCCCAGCAACACACACACACACACACCCCTCAAAAAACCATTTCCTTCATTTCGTTTCTCAGATAAACGTGTCTGGCTTGAGCTTAATTCAACAATCAACAGAGCTATGAAGACGAGCAGGAGCACAAAAGGCGATTCAGGTTCGTTGTACTGTGGTGTAGTACTGCTGGGTCTGATATTATTGGGGTGTATCAGAGAGAGCTGTGGTGGCGGCGGCGATGGCATTGGCGGCGATGTTAGAGGGAAGCAGCTTCTTGAACGGCCGTGCGATGAGATATATGTCGTCGGAGAAGGCGAGACTCTTCACTCCATCGGCCACAAGTGCGGCGACCCGTTCATCATTGAACGAAACCCTCATATTCATGATCCCGATGATGTTTTTCCTGGACTTGTCATCAAAATCGTCCCCACCAATCATCTCTAGTTGTACATACATTCATACATACATACATACATACATACAGTTTCTTGTTCTTCTTCTGAATCCTCATGTGTGTTTTTATATATTGTGTACACCCCAATACGTACAGATGGGTATGGAATTCTCCGATGATGACAAAGGGATGTTTAGAGGTTGTTTGAGTTTTGGATATGGCTTCCTTTGTTGATTGTCTTCCAAGTTTACATGTTTGACACTGTAAGACAATAAATTGTCTGGCCGCCTCGACAATGTTTGAAACTTTCTCTTCTTCTTTTTTTTTCTTTTTTCTTTTTTCTTTTTTGGGTAAAACAGGATATATGAGTATGACTGCTCTGGTGTTTCCATGTGCCTGTTCTTTTAATTTCTTCCTTTACTTTACTTTTACGGCGAGGAAGAAGCGCGATTTGCATCCGGTGAAGTCTACTCATGGAACACTGGATTTCATATACATTTTTCTCCATTCCAAAAATTTTGGATTTCATAATTTTTGAATATATATAACAAAAATTTTTATAATCATACAGTTAAATCATACGATTATTATCATATTACCCATGAAACATTTATAAGTACGTAGACTTAAATTATATTCACCAAATTCAAATCGGCAAAAAAAGTGGACAGGTTATTTAGTATTTCTATTTTGTACGTATAATCATCAGTTTCAACGCAATATTATCATTCCCTTGTTCAAAATTGCATAAATTATATACTCTTTTTTTTTAAGAAATATAAATTATATACTCTTTCAATGTGTACACATGTAATCAGTAGGGTTAGTGGCGACCGCAGGACTTGAGCAATGAGGGCATAAATTATATATACTATAAACATAATAAAAACATAATTTAAATAAATATTTTGTTTTATAAAATAACATTATAAAAATAAAATTAAAATGATGCTATTATAAAAATAATCTAAATTTAAATATAATGGATTTAAAATTTACAATCTAATGAGCTTAAGTGAAATATATAAAAGATTCAATTTTTTTGAATTTAAATATATTTTAATTTGATTCGGTGGGTTTAAAATTATTGAGACAGTAAAAGCAAATTTTTAGAAGTTTCACCGAATTATTGTAAATTTTCCCAAGCCGAGGCGGACACATTCCCACCCTCATCTTCATTTATATGTACTTTTGGCGGCTGGGTAGGGTACCACTTAATCGCAAATAAATATAAAAATTTTATTAATTTCAAATATTTATTAACAATATGTTTTTGAAAAAATCTCATTAATTACTTTTCGAAAATACTAAAATAGTTTATATTTTTAAATATAAAAAGTTAAAAAGATTATAAATTTAAAATAAGGAATTATACTAGATAGCTTGTTGCTTGCAAACTTTATATATAGGGAAAAAACTTAGCCTTATATATTTTAGGTGTTTGTTTTAAATTAAATCAACACATGTATATTTATTATAGATTATTTGTTTTATAATCAATGCATTTTATTAATGTTATTAATATATTAAAATTTATATGTCTTGATTTAATTGGATAAAAGTATATTAAATATATAAAAGTAAGTATATAAGCCTTGTCCTTATGTATAAAGTCAATGAGCACTTAAAAGTGAGTTAATGAACCCATGCATCGCAAGTCACACAAAGTTAATTAAATGAGCAATTAGTTTAACCATAGGTTAATGTAAACACACGCCTTGAATTATGGTTGTTTGACCCGTTTAACACATGATTAAATATATTTAACATTCAAAATAATGTCTTAAATTTTTTTACCAAAATGCATAAAACACCTCTAACTTTAAAATAATTACATATAACCCCTCTTACTTTTAAACGTTTAAAATTAACTCCTCTATAATCTTTAATTTCATTTTTTAAAGTCCCCTTCTGTTAATTATATAATTTTTTATAAGGCTTAAAATATCATTTAACTAAAAAAATGCTATTAAAAGATATTATATTATAGAATTATGACTAACTAATTTATGATATTTTTTAGATAGTTGAAGCATCGATAGCCAAAAAAATATTATTATCATCATATAAAATTTTAAATATTTACTTTTGTATTAGTTTTATCATTTTCTTTTGTTATCAATGGTGTATAGTTTTTCATATTAAAAGATAAATTAATTTAACTTGGTAATATTTAAGATTTTAAATATTTTATCCATGTGCATTACATTAATCTAACCTAATAATATAAATAAAAATGTTTCCTTTAAAATAATAAAACTATGCACCATTGATATCCAAAAAAAAAAAGAATAAAACTAATGTAAACATAAATATTTAAAATTTTATATGATAATAATTTTTTTGGCTATCAATGCCATAAGAAATTGATTATAAATAGTTCTACAATATAATATTTTTTGCTTAATAACAGTTTTTTAGTTAAATGATATTTTAACTCTTATGAAAAATAAAATAATTGGCAGTAGAGGTTTTGAAAAACAAAATCAAAAGTTAAGAGGTTTAATTTGAAATTTTTAAAAATAAGAAATTTCATACAACTACGTCAAAATTTAAGAAAATTTTATGCATTTTAGCCTAAATTTTTTAATAAGTTTTTGAAAGTTAGCATTTAAAAAATTCATACATTCACAAACATATCAATTGATAGAATACAAACAAGACATATGAGATGTTTTCATAGATAAATAATTAGTTATGTTTTCTATAAGTGTCTAACGAATAAGGCATACTCTTCACGATCCATGAATAACACAACTTACTATAGTTTTTTAATGAATAATTACATTTCAATCTCTTAATTCTTATTTTTATAAAATATAAATATAATAATAAAAATATGGTCAAAAATATAATAATAAAAGTAGTATACTATAATCATACTAAAATAGTTATCTGTTAAATGAGTTAAAAGAGACATTTCATCCAATCCAAGTTGACATGTTCAATTTCATTATAGTAATTTTTTTCAATTAAAGGGCTAAGGCAACGCATCATCAAATGAAATAATGGTTAAACGTGTTAATTGATCCATTAAGCTCCATATTTTCTGTTAGTTTTTAGCTTTGCCAATGCCAGTACAAGTATGTATTGATTTTGGGAATTATTATGGCTTTTAAAACTATGTGTATTAGTATTCAATATAATAATTACATATGACATTATTGATATTGACTGATGGTGCTAAAAATAATAGAGTAAAGTGATAACTTAAAATAATGTTAGGACGCGACATAGATGGAAGTGACAGAACAACTACTTATTATAACGACCACAAGAATAACAAGAACAAGAAGAAATATGCTTTGCTTTTAGTCGACTTACAACGTACATTATTTATCTTAATTCTATTTTCTCATTAATTTAAAATTCATAAACACTAACATTAATTAATAAATAGTAGCTCCAAAAAGGGCACCACAAAATTAAATTCTTCCTTGGCGTTAAAAGGAATATAAACATATACTTTATGTATATATGTTAGCTTTGTCAAATTAAACTTTCATATCCAATTAATTACAATAATTTATAATGAATTCTTTCATATTACTTCAACTCTTTGATCATCACACACCATAAATTTGATTATTGGCTCAGTCTTGTTAATCAAAAGCAAGCGGCCACTTACCACACAATTAGTTTTTAAACTATAAATCCAAAAGCATGTGGGATCTTAAATGTGTTTTTGATGTAATATTTCCTTTCAATGTTTCAAAACATTTGCAATATGGTTCTTATTGTTAATAAATGTTAACTTTAACCATTATAATTGACAAAAAATTACAAAAAATAGACTAAAAATTATAAAAAAGAATCAATAAAATTTCAAAACCACAGGATCTCTTATATAATTGATTAAATATTTCATCCTCAAAATCTCAGACATGAGTTGTTCCTCCGTCTTTATCTGCAATTCTTCGTAGAATTTTATGTTGTAAAATTAATTTCAATGAAGTGTACGTGAAAGAAAAGCCAAATGATTCTTTCTGACTTTTTAATATGACTATAACAAGTGATATATGATATTACACTTGTCCCCTTTTATTCATGGAATTTGGTAAAGCGTTATTTTCTCGTTCAACGAATTTTAATTCTACTCTTTTCTCTATCAGGGTTCTTTGAAATACAGAGTTTCTGAATTATCAGTCAATTAATTAAAGCCATCGGGTCTATTCATATATACTAGAGTGAAATATTGTGACTTCTCTTCTATTTTATTAAAATTACAGGAACCTTCCTTCTATTTTTAAAACATACATTTTAATCTAATTAATTTTTAACAGCGTTAAAAATATTGCATTAAATATTCTGAAATATTTATTTTTTCCTTGTAATTATGTTGCAAAAATTACAATTACTGATTTGCTCTCTTATAATTGAATTGTACTTTCTCTCTCCCCAAATTTAATGAACTTTAAATAATTAATTATGACTATATTAAAATAAAAATTTAAAAATATTTTTTGAAATTATACCATTTACAAAAAAAATAAACATAAATTATATTAAATAATTCAACACCTATTATATTAAATACCTATTTTATTAATTTTTTTTACATGTGTGTTTGAAATATTATTTTGGTATTTTAAATGATCTTTAGGTAATATTTATATTTGATCCAACAAATATAACTTAACAATGAACTAATAGTTTGTATGGATATAAATGAAATCTTTAAAAGTAAAAGGAAGGTTTGTATTTTGTAATTATTAATTTCATGAGATGTTCGCATAGATTTTTAAAATAGAAATTAGATATATATAATTAAAGTAAAATAGAAGAGAGGCTGATGTATTTTATTTTATATATCATATATGCTTCCAATGAATCATACGCCAACTTCTTTGTCTAGAATTATACACTAAGTAGACAGAAACGTCTGGCATGTCACAAGGTCTATGTGGTGATAAATGCAATGCAATTATTGGATAATTAATTATTGCAAAAAGATAATATTGATTTTTCGTATATGTGATTATTTATTTATGGTGATCTAGATCACAATGACGTTGATGTCGCTGCTCGTGTTCAGTGTCCACTTTTTTTCCCCCTCACTTCATCAAATAGAAATATCAAATCATTCAAAGAAATGGTGTGTTTGGCGCATTATAAACATCAACGTGTCGTAATAGGTCATCGAGTTGAGTTGTGTGCCAAGTTCATTGGTTAAGAAAGTTTTTTTATAAAAAAATTAATTTTTTAATCCCTCAACTTTTAACTCAGTCCCTCAACTTGTTACAACTCAGTCCCTCAATGATAACTCGCTACAACTCAATCCTTCAACTTTTAATTTACCTATAAC